ACCCGAAAATTGACCGTTAATCAATCAGCTCAACCCGAAAATTGACCGTTTGTTAAGCAGTTCAACCCGAATCAACCCGAAAATTGGCCGTTAATTGACCAACTCAACTCGAAATTCACCGGCTAATTGATTATTTCAAAACGAACAGCCAACAATCGATGAGCCTTTTTCAGCCAAAATTTAGTCCATCGACAAATTTCGTCCTAAAAAATTCAAATCATCAATTTAGCGATTAAAACAACGTAAAAACCGAGAAAAAAAAAAGATGGTTTGATTCATAAGGGACAGATTTAAATTCTCGACGCGTCAAGCGATTCTCCATACGCGTGCGTATCAATTTTTATTTTTAGGTTTTTTTTTTAAATTTATTTTTATTGTTATTTATTCTTTTTGTATTTGTTAATTTTTGCAAGATTTTATCACATTTCAATATTATCATTATTAATTGTTCATTATTATAGTTATTATCATTTTTTATCGTTATCATTATTATCATTGTTGTTATTAACTTTTATTGTTATATTTATTTATTAATTTTTATTGTTATATTTATTTATAGAATAATTATTATCAACTATTATCGCTTATTATCATTGTTATTAATTATTATCATTATTATTATTACAGTTAATTATTATCGTTAATTATTAATTATTATTATTTGTTATCTATCACTAATTATTATTACTATTAATTATTATCGTTAATTATTATTATTTGTCAATATCAGTTATTATCGCTGTTAATTATGGTTAATTAATTATTATTTATTATTATCACTGATTATTATTTATTAGTATTACTGTCAATTACTATCGTTAATTATTATTTATTATTATTTGTTACTATCAATTTTTACCACTGATTATTATTTATTATTATTGTTAATTGTTAATTAATTATTATTGTTTGTTACTATCACTGATTATTATTATTACTATTAATTATTATTGTTAATTATTATTTGTTATTATCAATTATTAATTATCACTGATCATTATTTATTCTTATTACTGTCAATTATTATCGTTAATTATTAATTATTATTATTCGTTACTATCAGTTATTATCGCTGATTATTATTTATTATTATTATTACCTTATTATAATTTTTATATTATTTTATATTTTCTTAAAAAAAAGATGGATAATTTATTTGTTTTTGGTTATTTCTCGATGCTTTCTCGTTAGAAAATATCTTTCATTCATTCATTCATTCGTACCTAAAATTTGTCCTCAAACTTTAGTTATCATTAGCTATTATATTTATTATTTCATTTATAAATAAATCATAGCAAAAATCACAATCGATTATCACGAAATAAAATAATTTTTAAAATAAATAAATCTCTTCTTATCATAAACAAAAGAGGAATGAATTTCATAGAGGGGCAAATCAATCAACTAGTCAACTAATCAGCCAACCAACCAACCAACCTTTCAGCCAAACCAGTCAACTAATCAACCACCCTTGGCTGTTTGATCGTCGATGTTATATAGTTTAAACGAAAATTCTCCTTATTTCTAGTTTATAAAATCTAAGACCAACGCTATCTATTTTATGATCTTAGTATTGTATCCATTCGTTGACCTTTGTTTTTCGATCTATATTGATTGATTCACATTTTTATGCATATATATCTTGAGAGCATTTTTATTATTATCACTATTATTGATTATTATTGATTAATCATTATCATCTACTATCAGTTGTTATTATTGTTACGTTTTTTATTTTTATTATCAATTTTTTTATTTTGTTATTTTAGCGCATTACTATAGAGGTTAATTAAATTAGTGATTGTTTTTTAATCTTTTTCTCGTTTCAATAAAAATTTTTTCTGATAAAATACATATTAGAAAAGTTTTTTTTTTTTTCCGGAGTAGCATTTTTCAGGCTATGGAACCTCTTTTCAGGTTTTTGGTTTTTGGCATTGTTCTAAAGGATTTTATTTGCCACATTTTATATTTGCGACAGATGGGCGCAGAAAAGCCTTCATCTAGTAGATTAATAGAAGTGGCATAAGTAGTGATTTTTGATCATTAGCGCTAGTTTAAAAAATTTTTGATAAATAAGACGGTTATTTTTTTTTATTTATCAGCTGGATAATGGCCAATTGGACTTTAAATGATTATAAGTTCGGTTCTTGCCAAGGGCCAAATTTTCGTCTATTGTAATGGCCTATGAATGGCCTATAAATTTATGCGTTTCCATGAATTTTAATGATAGATTAATTCTTATCAACTCTTATCTATATGATAATTCGAATTTAAAAACGATTTTCTTGTTAAGAATAAACCAGTCGTTAAAAGTGAAATGCGACTGGCTTCTGCCTAAGTTCATTTATATTTCTATCCTTAAATGATAATAGGTGATAAATGATAATTACTCTCTGATAAAACCAATTCTAATTATAAAAGTAAAAATTAGTTTTTAAAAAATGTTTTAGAAATTCTATTGCAAGAAGAAGAGGAAAAATCAAATCGCAAAATTGCAAAAATAAAAGAATTAAAATGTAACATTTTTGCACAATAAATAATTTGCAAAAATAAACCAAATGCAAACCAAGCCTTCTCCTCTAAAAAATTTTTCCTTTTCGCATATTTCATAAATGATGAATACGAAAAAAAATTTTCTAATTTATAAAACTGATAAAATTGATAAAGAAAATTTCCATCGTAGATTATAATAATTATTATTATGCATTTTAATAAAAATAAATAATCGCTTGTAATTCTCGTAAAATTACTAAATTATCGTAATGGTACGAATGGCGAGTGGTGAATAAATGGTGAGTAATAGTGAATAATGGCGATGATGAAATGATAAATTTTTCTCGTTTTTTGATAAGACATTGAGCTTAGCGGCAAGATAATTTTTAAAAAAGAAACATTCTTTTCGATTACAAGAAATATGGGAAAAAAAAGGAAAGAAAAAGAATGAAATTTCATTGGAATTTTAAATAATTTATAATAAACAATATGTAAAATATAAAAATTTAATATAAAACAATTTATAAACGATCCTTAGCATTCATTTAGTCATGTATCACCTTATCAGCGAACGGCGGCAAACATAAAATGATTGTTCTCGTTATTTCTTATCTTTTCTCGTCTTCTACTAGTGATTCTTTTGAATAATTCAAACTCGCTAAAAATTATTATGATTACAATAGTGATAAATAATAAATCACTATTGATTTCAATGACCTTCTGACGTTTTCCAAGTCTTTGACCTTTGTCCAATTGACGTTTGCTGACGTTTAGGCTTTTAATTTACGCGAGTTTTACGTTATATTTGGTCATTTTAGCGAAAATTAGACAAGTGAGTTTTTATTAAATTAATAAAAAATATTGCACAATTATGTTTTAGATTGTGCAAAATTAATTTAGTTCCAACGAATAGTTTAGAAATTCCGCAAAATTAGAAATCTATAGAGACAGACGACAACTGACGTATAAAATCGACTAACTAATATTTAACATAAATTTTTCCGCAACCATTTCTGCTTCATTTGACAAATTCATAAGATTCTTTCCGCATATTATAGAGTTCCATAGTAATACGCGGAAGTTTTTTTTTTTTTAGGACCATTATTGTTAACCATTATTGGTTACATTTGCACCTCTGGTTTATCGGATTTTTTAAATAGGTTTATTGCTACATGGGGAGTAGAACCATAGCATTGGCATTTTGAATTGAACAATAACCAATTGAGCCATTCTAGTCTCTTTTCTTTGTTTTCTTTCTTTGTTAGGCGACATTGTCGCACGATGAAAAACGTCAATTGCAGAGCATCATCGAATTCGAATCTAAGCCTTGATTCTCGATCGCAATTATCACTAAGCTATCAGCGGACTCGAAAATTATCTCTCAATGATCGCTATATATTTTTTATCAAATCACTAATCTAATCAATGTTTTGATCATTTTCGATTCTATAAAAATATATCTCTAAAGAATAATAAAAAATTTAAGAACGAAAAAGAAAATCACTAAATTTATTTGTAAATTTTCTTTTTGGTTTCAATAGATTTGTCAGCCATATCGATGAACGAATTGTTTATCCATTTTTCGTTCAGCTCATCTCGCTTTAAGCTTCCTTTTTGTTCATTGCTTATTTTGCGTTTTCTTAAATTTATCGAATTTTTATTATATAATTCTCGTTTTTTTTTTTCTCGTTATTGCTTAATTTTTTTAAAAATTTTAAAAAAATATAATTTTTTTTTATGATTCAAATTTTTATCATAAATTTTTTTATTTTAAATTATAAAATTTTAATTTTAAAAATTTATCAAAATAAATAAATTATCAAAAAATTTTTATCACACATTTATTATTCGTCATTAATTAACAAACAAATTATTATTAAATTATTAAAATTAAAATTATTAAATTTTTATTAATTTTAAATTTTTCGAATTTTTTTTTCGCTATAATAAAAAAAATGCATTTAATTGAGAATTATAATCGTTTTGATAAATAATTACTTTAGGTGAAAACTTCTATTAACCGTTTTTTTTTCGTTTTTTTGCTAAAAAAAATTTTACGTGAAAAAAGCGTCGATTTACTATTTTTCCATCGATAATGGCATTAAATGATGCAAAGAATTTCAAGTAAATCTTTATTATTCTCATAAAATTTTAAAAATTTTGAAAATTTAAAAAAAAGTGCAATGTTAGAATGGCGCAGTGGAATGTTTCTCTTATTTCAATTTACTTTCGTCGTGGTTCAATTCCCTTCAACGACAAACATTTTTTTCGAACAAATATTCGAGGAATTTTTGCAATTTGTATTTCTCCTTTCAATCGTTAAGCGACTTCATAGCAGAATTAGTCTATAATCCAATAAGTCAACGAAACAAAACTAATCAAATAGTGAGCATTCATAGAAAAAAAAATGATAAAAGAATAGGGAGAATTGGAAGAAGGAAAAAAAAATTTCTTTGATAAATTTTTTTTTTCTCTTTAAAAAAAGAAAAAATTTTTTTTATAGGGGTATGAAACAAATTTTATCGGAATTGGAACCGAGTATTGATGCAAATTCCATTATCGAACTAAAAGAACGCGTTAATATTCTCTGTGCTCGTTTTCTTGGTGGTGCATGGAAAAATATTTCGGTTCAAGAATTGATTATACAACGCCTTAGGTGATTTATTCATTTGCTCTCTATTTAATTTTAATTTAATATTTATAATATAAATGATATAATATATATAATATAATACATAATATATATATAATAATACAATATATAATATATATACATATAATATATAATATATATAATAATATAATATATATAACATAATAATATAATATATAATACAATAATATAATAGATAAACAATGTATAATAATATAATACATAATATAATATATAATATAAATAATAAATAATTAAAAATAAAAATTACTAGTCGATTTTTCTATTTTTTATTTATTTTTTTATTTATATTTATTTATTTAAAATAATTATTTTTTAATATTTATTTTTTATTTTGGCGAAAATTTTTTCAAGGATATTTTTTTCTTTTTTTAAAGAGGTGGAATGAGTAATATGCTTTTTTTGTGTAAATTACCATCGAAGATAGTTCCAATTCGAAATGAACCCGATAAAGTTCTTTTACGGATTTATTTCAATCCGGAAACCGAAAGTCATTTAGTCGATGAATCAGTGATATTTACTTTACTTTCTGAACGACATCTTGGACCAAAATTATATGGTGTTTTTAATGGTGGACGTCTTGAAGAATATATTCCGGTATTGTTCTTTCTTTTTTTTCTTTTATCACTTTATCATAAAATTATTTAATGCGATAATGATAATTTATGTTGTAGTTCTGGGATATGATAATTTATTTTATTCATAGAAAATCCCATTAATTATAAGATTGAGCCGTTTCAAACCTTACCGATTGGATATTATATTTGAAAGTAATAGAAGATTCTAGTCATCTGTATTTTTTTATTAGACCTCGGCTTTCAATCATCGCCATTAGATTTCTTGAATTTGTATATCTTTCTTATATACTACCGTGATAAGGATTATCACACGGGTCGGCAATTCTAATTTAACGCTTTAATCATGGAACTGTTTAGTGATAAAAATGCAATTTGGTTCACAGTTAACTAATTTAATTTTAATGAAAAATGTTTAAGAGAAAATAAATGTAGGGGAAATTAGAAAGAATATCTCGATTTTATTTCAGTTCACATAGGTCCGATCATTTTACTGGTACTAACTTATCACTAACTATAAGTCCTTTTTTCAAGTCTTTCCTCCTATATAAGTTGAATTTCAGTCAAGGCCATTGTCATGTAGCGAAATATCGATGAAACAAATGTCGAACAAAATCGCTAGGCGCATTGCACGCATACATTGCCTTGAATTGCCTATTTGGAAGGAACCTGATTATATTTGTGATACAATGCAAAGGTTAATTCTTTTAAAAAAACAATTAACAATAATAATAATTTTGATGCTTATCTATAGGAGCTATAGGGTACTTTGTTTTTGCTAGTTCCAGTGACTATTAGGATAAGAGCCTTCAATCAAAGAACCATTTGAGTATGGGAATATCGCTTAATCGCCAGTACCATCCTAATTATATTATTTATTATATCAAAATTAAAATTCTCATTAGAGGATAGAATCCATGTTGTCTGATTTTGGTCAAAGCAAAAATCTCTTCGACTATCCTGCACCAGATATTATGAATTATAGGAAAGCTTAATGATGAAATGAATTCACTATTTTTTTAATATTCTATTATTTTTCTATTATAGATGGTTGACTCAAATAATGGAAACACCAAGTGGATCTCATTTATTTACAGTTCCTGATATTTACTGTCCTTGGGCACCAAAGGAAGTTAGTTGCACACAATTAGGAGACGAAATTGAGTTTTTAAAGTTCGTAATAATCAATCAATGATCAATGATTGTTTTTTTTAAATATGCAAAAATAAATTTATATATATATGTAAATATATATATATATATATATGCATATCTGTGGATTTAAATTGTTTTTTTATAGAAGAACACTCATAATAAATAAAATGAAGCCAATAATATGGAAATAAATAATTACCATTTAAGCATTTTATCAATTATCATATCATATATCATTAAAGTTTAACTATTAAAACCGTTATTCATTATAATATTTTTTAGATGCTGCATTAATATGACTAAAAGTCCCTGCGTATTTTGTCATAATGATCTTCAAGAAGGTATTTACATCTAAAATATGAATAAAATAAATAAAATAAATAAGTTTTTTTAATAATATTTATGAATATTTATAATTATTATAATAATTGTTATAATTATAAAAGTTTTTCTCTTATTTTCTCTGGGTGGTCATGATCTCCTCAACCTCGGTCCATTTACCAGAGGTTTGGTAGATTCAAGGTTCTATACAATATCTTATGCTTTTGCTTTTCCTAACAATGCGCTCTTTTGGCTAGAGTTGTTGTTCCTAGAAGAAATACAAGCTTTTTAATAATTTTTATAATTTTTTTTTTGAGAATGCCCACCATTACTGGTTTAAACTCGCTTCACTGTGGCTTGTCGCATTGGGCGATATGCCAGGGAGTCCTTTGGCGATAGAAATACAGGTGAATTGCCAGCAGCCAGCGTCACTTGGATTTTTGGACAGGTTTACTCCTGCGAGGAATCGAACCTCAGTATCGGCGCTGCCAATTGAACAACAACCCACTGAGTCATTTAAAAACCCATCCTATTTCCCATTTATAAACAATAAATAAAGTTAGGATAATTTAAGATTTTTATAAATTAAGAATTAAATACTAAGTTTATGTAAATAAAATATTTTTAATAAAATAAATAATTATAAATAATAAAATAAGAAATAATTATATTTAAAATTATTATAAATAATTATATAAAAACAAAAAAAATTTTAAATAATTTTAGATTATTTAATATTTAAATATTTAATATTTATTAAAGTCTATTTGTTATTTTATCTATTAAATATATTTAATTTAATGGAAAATTTTTATTTTTTTACCGATAATATTTTTCTAAGTGATTTTTTTTTTACAAGGTAATATTTTATTATTAAATACGAACTATGGAAATATTCGTCAGTCATCTATTGACGACGATTTCTCTAGCGAATCATCATCGAACGAATTCAACTTAGATGATCCACATCTTGTTCTTATCGATTTCGAATATGCAAGCTATAATTACAGGTTTTTTTTATTTTTGTTTTTTTTTTAAAATAAATTCTTCATTAAATAAAAATTTCATTAATTAATTAAAAACCTTTGTTTTAAAATGGAATCATTTATCACTTATCACTTTTTTTTTGAAAATTTTTAAATTGATAATCATTCTTCTCTTATCATTGAATGAGATTTTATCTGCTCGGCGAACCCATAAAATATACCTTAGACATATTTTAGAATGATTAGTCAAAGGCAGATAGCTGCTTTATATCTTCCATTCTCATTGGCAATAATTTCGTAGTCATTATAGTAAGAACGAATGAATTTGCAACTTAGAGTGGACGCGGAATATTTTAAACTTATTTTACTTCTTATTCCAGTTGAAAATCTTATCGTATTCGATTCTTTTAGAGGATTTGATTTTGCGAATCATTTTATTGAATATACGATTGACTACAGTTTTAATACTTATCCTTTCTATGAAATTAATAACGATAATTTTCCATCGATTCAACAACAAATCGAATTTTTTGAATCATATATTCAAGAAAGTGAACCGAATTTATCAAGTGACGAGATTCGTGAGAGAGCACTAGCGATGACCGAGGTTTTATATATTTCTATATTTTTTTTCTTATTCTAAAAATGGTGGATAATTTTGTTGCTTGTTGTTATTGTTGTTGTTGTCCAGCGGGACAATATTCTTGTCCGCTGTGGGAATCGCTTGGCCACCAGGAATAAAAACTTCCACCTCTACGCATAAATTAACTCCCAATGCGTTAGATGATCTTTCTTTAACACCCTTTGTCATTGTCATTTTACATATTAATTCTTCCAAAAGTTTTAAAAAATTTCCATTTTAAAAAGATAATTGGTGTAGATTCATGAAGAATAGTTGTTAGCACCTTAGGTACAGTCGATTAGAAGTTGATAAATTCCTGATATCTTCCATGCTTATTGATAATTTCGTTCTTGACATAGGAAGCATATTTCTATTTTTCCTATTCTTATAGTCATTATAGAAGCCAACAAAACCATTGTATATTATGCGATTTTAAAAAATTTTACTTAATTTTTCTTAATTTTTAATTTCTTAATTTTACTTAGATTTTTCAAGTTTCTTATTTTCAGTTCCAAGAATTTTACGTTTTATTTTTATTTTCTAATTCTATTTCTATTCTATTTTTAGTTAAATTAAAATAATATTCAAATTCTAAAATTTAGAAAATAAAGAAATTTGTTCCAATTTTTTTTTTTATTTCAGGAAACGCTACCATTTGTTGCTGTTTCTCATCTTTTTTGGGCAATTTGGAGTTTTCTTCAAGTTGAAGTTTCACCAATTGATTTTGGATTTGCTGTATGTTCATATTTCTTTATGAGAAAATTTTCAAATGAAAAAAGAAAAAAAATTCATTTCTAATTTTTTTTTTCAAATAATTCATTTTTTTCTTTTTTTTTCAGGAATATGGATTAGACCGATTGGGATTATATTTTGCGAATAGAAAACATCTAAAAAATCTGCTAACAAATAATAATCAGAAATGACAATGACTCGTTGAACTAATAACAACACAAACTAGGAATTTTTTTTTTAAATAAAGAAACTTTTTAAAAATTCAAGGACATTTGTTGATCAAAGATAATTGCTGTTTGGTGAAAGTTTAATCCAAGGTCATAAAAAAATAAAGAAAAATAAAAAATTTTGAGATTAAAATATTTTTAAAAACAAATTTTTTTTTTTAGGAAAAACGCTTAAAAAAACGCATTTTTTTTTATTTTTTGTTTTTCAATAGATTGATTCGATAATTATTACTTTCTTTTTATTTTTACATATATATTTTACCTTAAGATAAGATAAGATATGATAATTACAAATAATTCGATTAACAAAAAATTTTGAAAAAAAAATACCAAAAAAAATAATTACAATTTTCAGCGAAACGTATTATATTCAAAAATAAAAGGCCTTGCAACATAACAAATAAAATAAAATTAAAATTAATTAAAATAATAATAATTTTTTTTGAGATATTATCAAAATTTATTATTAAATAATTACAACAATTAAATTGTTTTTAGCAATAAAAAAAACACGTTTTTTCGGCTTATTTCGAGGGTTTTTCAGTTCTTACAAAACTATACAAAAAATATATAGTTATCACAAAAAAAAAACCGAAAAAAATTTTAAAGCAATTATACCTTTTATTAAATTAATTGAATTACTTATATTGCACTAATTTTATATCGTTTTTTACTTATAAAAATGCCTAACCTCGCCTTCCTTCAACTTCTCTAATTATGCGGCTCCAAATTTCAATTTAAATAGTACCATTTTTGTTTTTAGTGAATAAATTTTTATTAATTCTGGAATTCAAAAAATTATTAAGCAAGAAATCACTGATAACCCTCCGCAAAAAAAAAAGTAATCACTAACTACCTATTAAAATCTATTTTATTTAAATTCCTGGCTATATATTTGATAGCGCTTTAAATTAATTCATTAACCTTTTACTAAGAGATAAATGATAAATTTACGGTCCTTTTTCTATGATAAGATAATAGGATTGCAGGTTTTATGAAAGAAAACAGCATATGGAATTTATGAAAAAAAAAGGAGATAACGATTTTTATAACGAAAAAAAATAAAACAAAAAGATTCCTCCAAGGCCATAAAATAACAATGAAAAAAAAAATAAATATAATTACAATAAACAATGGAAATGCACTTGAAAATATTTTTAGTCTTCCCGTACTTTTCGTTTATTATAATTGTGTAGTACCACGTTATGCGTTTTACGGATAAGAATATTATCACCATATTTAACTAAATAGCATATTTTGACTTACAATTGTGGCGCCATTCTCGCACCATTACTGATAAGATTGCTAGCTTTACTGGTTTACAAGATTCATAATCTATTAAGACGATGTAAAAGATTAATTAAACTAACTCGATCACCATCATAAAAGTAATTTATTCGTTGCATTACTGTGGTACTAAATCACAATTCATACAAATCATGAAATTGGGTATTTCTCTTTTCTTGCATATTTTTTTAAATAAAATACACACATATATATCTTGTAATATGTCCGTAAACTATATTATCATTTTATCACAATTTTTTTGCCCCAAATAGCTATTGAATAATTTATTTCTTCTCGTTTTATGGCAACAATCTTCTTTAAGTAAAACAAAATAAAAAGAAAGCTTCTTGGCTTAACTCATTTTTTTTTTGGAGCAAAAAAATCAAATTATTCATGATCATCATAAATAAATCTATCGTTTGTATGAGTTTCTCGTTTTATGAGCTTCTAAGAGCTTCATTCACTACGATTATGATTTGACTATTAAACGGCGTGAGGTGCAACTCAAAATGAACCCATTTACTGGAGAATCACTCGAGAATAGAGGTAGTCAATAGCCATTATATTTCTTAGTTAGTATATATATTCACATATAATGAGAAAAAAATTGGTACGTCAAATCCTCATGAGATTACTTACTAGAGGAAAATTCCCTTGAATTATGAGAGTATTTTCTAATTTTTTGTTTGCTTTTCCTTTTTTTATCAATTCTTCATTTTTCCTCTTTTGTTTCCTCTTTCCTCCTTTCTTCTTTCTCTTTCCTTTCCTTTCCTTCCCCACTTTTTTTTCCTTTTATTCGAGTGAATTTAGAAAATTTTCGACTTCTTATCTTCTAGTTTTAGTAAAAATATTTGTTAAGACCTTGAATTTTGAAGTGATATATTTCGAAGATAAACACGATAAAAAAACAACAAGAAAGCCATTTAAAATACCATTTGATAAAAATGCGATGAGAGCTAACAATAATGTCGTTTTAACGTGCGTTTCGTAATTCCAATATTTTTTCAATTTCTGCTGTGAAAGTATTTATTAATTCAGGAAGATCCTTAAAAAGAAAAAAGAAAATTATTAAATTTTTTTTACCATATTTTATAATAATATAATAATAATAAATCGTCTAATATTCAATAATTTTCTATGAGCGTTCACGATTTTTGATTGAAACATCGTCCAATGGTGTTTTGTTGGATCAGAAAAAAAATTTTGCCAGGAAAAAACTTTAGTCGAGAAGGTGCAAAAGATAGAAGAAGCACACTAGTGTGCCACGAGTACCATTTGGATTCTTGAAAAACATATTTATTTCTACTTGAAGGTGAAATCAAGAAACTCGATGCATCGAAATGAGAACGACAACCCACTGAGCTATTCCTACTCTCCATAAATAAAATTTGTAAAAAATTTGTTTAAATTTTAAATTTTAAATTTGTTTAAATTTTTTAAACAAAAACAAAATCTTTTTTTTTGCGAGTTAATTATCAATTTTCTCGATAATTTGAAAAAATTTTTCGCTCAAATACCGCCTGCATTAATATTGTTATAACAGAGCGTCGCTTTCGCTGGTTAGGACACGTTCTCCATCTTTCACCACAGGAGTTAACGCATATTTCGTTATTTGCTAAACCATGTGATGGTTGGTGTCAAAAGCGAGATGGGCCAATCAAGACCTGGACTGATACGGTCAGGAAAGATTTTGAACACATAGAGGGACTAGCGATATGTGGACTTAGACGATGGAAAAAGGAATGGCTTCTACTACTAGCGATTACTACTAGCGATGGCGTCGAACTAGGTGGCGGCTTGGAGACGCCTTACTTTTGTAACCAATGAAGCCAGCCTAACCAGTAATGGTGAGAGAAGAAGAATTTGAAAAAATTACTCCAAATGATTTTAGAGAAGGGAATTTTTTTTTTACTGAATTTTCCTTTCAATCATAATTGAATTAATAATAAATTAAAAATTAATAAATTAAAACGTTTACAAAAAAAAGTATTTCTAAGAAAAGAAAAAAAAATTTTTACCTTACAAGCAGTTAGATTTCTTTTAAGAGCAACGAGCATTACAAAAATTTGTTGAAAATTGCGTTCATAATTTCGAACAACTAATTCCAAATGATTAAGTGTTGTTTCATATGGTTTTAACCTTTCATCGAAAATCTAAAAAAAAAAAAAACATTTTTTTAAATAAAAAAATTTAAATTAAATTAAAAATTTTAAAAATTTTATTGAATTTTATAAAAATTATAGCCGAAAAGTTAAAAATATTTTTAAAAATTAATAATAATAAAACGAACTTTAGTGGCCAAATGTTGAATACATTTCTCGGATATGCCATTATGATCGACACATGTGGTACTCGTTTCATTTGCCTGTTGATCAGATTTATTACTGGAACATGGTGAATTTAATGAGCTAGAAGTTGAAGCGGGAAGATTTGAGACTTCAGGTGAATGATTTCTTGACGATGATGATAATTCGCTTAGTGCTGATGACCTATTTACTGATGATTCTATATCGTTTGTGAAGAAGCATCCGTTTGTAATTTTTGCTTCTAAAAATCCGGTTGTTCCTGTTGTTGATTCTTGAAAAGAACCATTTTTATTTGATATTAACATTTGATTGTTTTGTTTAGATGTTTCTGAAACGAATCCTTCAATATTACCATTTTCCGTTTTAACTCTTTTCAGCGATATGTCTTGCTCCAAATTCTATAAAATAAAAAATTTTAAGGAAAAATATGAAAAGAAGTTGAAATTATTAAAATTATATGATAATCGTAAATGCGTTATGAATTTTGCCATAAATGGATGGCTTACTTCATGACTTGGACCAGTGATTTCTGAAAGTTGCTGAGGTTTCGTTAACTTCCTTTTGTTTCTAATTCCTGATATCACGCTGATACCTTTACGTTCGAGTAAATTATCTAATGATCTTCCTACCGATGATCTCCTTTCCTGAAAAAAAAAAAATTCTATATAATAATTTTATTCATTTACGATTTAATATTATTATTGTCAAGTAAACAATGAGCTATAAGGAAAATATACCACTTCAGCTGCATTCATTTTCAATCCTGAAGTGGTATTTAGAGGAATTTTGAAATCATCCTTCACCCTTTTTCCGTTTGTCAATTTTGGTTCATTCTCCTTTTTTTCTTCAACATTATCGCTTGTATTCGATTTTAAATCTTCAGAACTAGCTGCAGAAATTCCACTACTGAGATCAGAAGCAGCAACAAAATTACGATTACATCCTAAAAGCTTTGCAAAATCATAAATCACAAATAAATTAAAAAAAAGGGGAAAAATAGAGCCTTGAATAAAGCCAATTAACCATTCAGCATATTTGCTTGAAAGGCCAAATTTGCCAATGGATTATTCAGAAGAAACGCGGCCACAATTGGACTTAAGTTTGCTTCGATCCCATTTGACGAAAATTCCAGCTAAAAACATATCAGTAAATCTCATTTCAACTTTAACTGGTTTACAACCATATCCATTGTTGAAAATTTTAAGAAGATCAATAATAAATAAAACCTTTTATTCTATCTGTTTCCTTATTTCTGGTAAAATTCGTTTTGCTGGCTATTAAAAGAATTAGAAATTTCTCTTTCATTTCGAATCGAAATGGGCCACAAATGGACCACCAGCAATGGATTTACTCTTGCCGGAAGTGTAGGTCAAACCACTAAACGATAATTTATGCCGTGAACCACTGGAGTTAGCCAATTCCCGATATGATAAAATTTATAATAGTGCGCCCAGAAGAAAACCGGTCGCTATGCGGTGAGCTTTGATCTCTACAGAAAATCATTTGTGAAAAAGCTTTATAAAAGTTTTGTTTAAAGGGGCGCGGTGATGATGAAATACAAAAAGATTTGATAAGAATTTAGGTGGTACCAATTCTTCATATCCCCAAAACTCCTCTTTCACATCCCACCCGAATTTCTTCGTATTTTTTTACCACAATTTAACATCTCCTTCAAATTCTAATTGTCTCAGATTCCGATATGGTCCCTTAACATATTGTTCTCTTTTGTTAAAAACTCATTAAAATGCCATTGAAACCCGTTTTGTACTCTAAGATCCTTTTAAGCTTCCTCCTATTCTCTTACAATCTCCTCAAACACACCGCCTTGCTTTCCCTCCGGTATAATTTTCATATTCCCTTGTCAAATTCTTTTATCACTACAGCAGGCATCGTTATTAACATTCATCAAATCTTTTTATAATAATTATCAAAATGCATACTTTCCTGATATTTATATGACTTTCCTGATATTTTTCCTCCAGTGCCTTCTAAACCTTTTCCTCGCATCGCCTCATACCTCGCTAAAGTCTATCGTGAAATTCCTTATTAGAGTGGATATTGCTTTTTAAACACAGATAATCTAATAAATATGAGTCCAAATCTTTAAGTGTAAGGACGCTCTTAAACTTTTAAAAATTATTCAGGATAACTTTCATAAAGAGCCATTCTTTATGTAAGCTTTCTCCTCGAAGGCCTTCTGAAAAAGTCTGATGAACCCGCGAATCGAACATCATGGGGATATATTTGGAGAGCTATTTATCGAACAGTTTTATATTTTAACAAATCCTTATATTTTACCATTTTATTTTTTATCGCAATCAGCTCTTCCATTTATAAAAAGTCTAGAAGGACTCAAAGAAAAGTAGGAAAGTCCAAAGAATCGGGAATAGTTCCTCTAATCCCAATCTCTTGACTAACCATCTTGACTAACACACCAGTAGATTTTCCATGAATGAATGGTATAGGAGGCATATTTAGTTATGATAATATTCTGGTATTTCTTCTAGTTTATGACATAGTTCGCAAAATTCGCAAATTTTTTCAAATAAAATATCCCGATTAAGCTAACATCGCGAATAGGGCGGATTAGCGAAATTCAAGGTTCAAGATTCAACTATATTTATCAAATCTTCCTTCCGATAGCAGCTATTTATCTAAAGCCCTTTCAATATAGAGTATTAGGATAAAGGTGTATCATTTATCATTTTATCATTTATTATTTTATCAGTTTCTCTAATTTATAAGCTTTCAATCAACTTAGAAAAAATTCTTTAACAAATGATATATTATCATTTGTAGTTTTTGATATCTGTATGGTATATAATATAGTTCCACTGATCATTCAGTACATGTTTATTACTGTATTTCAATAAAGAAGCAAAACTCACATTTTGTCTCGTTGGAAATAAGCTATCGCTATTAGAAGTAATCGATGGAAATATGGAACTATTCAATAAGCCATTATTTGCCGATGAATCATGATTGTTATTGTTCGATGATGAAGTAATAGTAGTTGTATTTACAGGATTTGGTGGAGAATCAGTAATTGATTGTGGACTTTGCACTGATAGGTTATCTAAGTCGTCTTCAGTGATAACTATAAAAATTAAAATAAATTTAAATAAAAATTAAAATTTAAAATATAAAAAATTTTAAATAATTAAGTGGGATTTCGTAAAAATCGTAGAAAATAAATTTTTTTTTTCCTGTAAACATAAATAATTTATTTTATTTTTATTTATTTTTTCTATTTTAAAAATTTATTTTTTACTTCCAGCCGTTCCAGGTCTCTCAGATGTGCTTTTCGCAAGTACTTCAACATCACCAGGTGTATTATTATTCAACATGCTTTGCATATGCATATGTAGCGTTGTTTTATCTTGATATGCCCAATTACAGCATCGACACATGAAAAGTCTCGCAATTTGATGTTCTTCTTGCATATGCATTTTCAGACTTTCGTGAGCTATAATAGAATAATAATATGATTAATATTTTATAATATAATATTTATTTTGTATAATATTTATTTATTTTATATAATATTTTGTAGCATATAATATTTATTAAAATTTTATATAAAATAAAATAATATTAATATAATATTTAAATAATTTTAAAAATCTATTTTCTATTTAATTTTGAAATGAAATGAAATTAAAAATGAATGAGTATAATTCGTGCAAATATTTAAAATAAGAAAAATAAAAACTAGTGAGTTGTATTTTGCAAGAAAAATTAATATTTAAGAAGGCCAAAGCGTAGGCCATTAAAAATTTTTTAATAGATCTTTTTTGCAAAATTTCACTAGAAAAACTGATAGCTATTCGTTTGAAAAAATGAATCATTTTAGGCAAATTCTTATGCCTATCGTTTACTTACCATTTTTGCGACCTTTGTCATCATTCGAGCCAACTGAAATGAAAAATAAATTTGGCCAGTGCGCCACTCTATTAAATGAAATTTATCTTAGATCGACAATGCAAGGGAATATGAATAATAAGAATTACAATAAAAATTAACCTAAATTACATAAAATATTAACTATTCCTTTATCATTTAAAATTCCTTTATCATTTATTATCTACAAAATAATCTCTTCGTCGGCTATTGATAATTTTTTTAAAACTCCTTGAATTTCGAAAAAAATGGATATAGATATATATCAATCAAATTTAAAAGTACCACTGTGGGCGAAAAATATTTTATACGATGAAAGAATTGAAAAGAAAAGTTAAATTATAATAAATAAATTATAATAAGTAATAAGAAAGCAGAGAATGATGAATGATAATTAATGATAAGTGATAATGAGTGTTGATGAATATGAAATGATATGATTTAGGCGAACGATATGAAACTGCTTTTTCAAATGAAATTTTATTATATTTTCATATAACGAAATTAAAAGTGGTGATAATATGGCTTATTTGATCATTACTTATCTCATTTCGACTAATACTGAGGTTCTACTCGCAATCTACACCTGTTTTTTAAAAATCCATTTGGGTACTCATTGTGACTCATTTATAATTTTATCACCAACTTTATCATCAAAATTTATCCGATAAGCCAGAAGAATAAAAGCCGAAATTAGGTGTTCTTCGAAGAAAAAAAAACCCAAATCATTCATTAAAATCAAAAAAAAAAGAAACCATAACAATTCGAACTATTTTTGGCGTAAAAAAAAATTATAAAAGAAAATTTCATAGAAATAAATAAAATATAAAAAAAATATTTAAAAACCTACTACATATTTCTGTATTACATTTGAGGCAAAGATAGGTTTTGAAATGTGATTGCATACGGTGTCGACTTAATGAAGACGAATGGCAAAATACTTTATTGCAAACCGAGCATGGGAATTGACCTTAAATAAAATTTACTTTATCATTAAATCGACTAAAAATGTCACAATTATTTTAGTTATTGATGAAGATAAGGCCATTCTTGTTTCATCAATTATAAGCAAAAATCAAAAATTTTTTTGAAAAAAAAATAACCAATCTGCAATAAATCCTATGCACACATATAATATTTCCGGTTTGATTGATAACACTTAATGTGATAAGAATTTTTGATAAGTGAATTATTCAATAATAGAAAGCTATAAGGTTTTTATGGGGGAGAATTTAAAATTTCATCTTAAACCACAGATTTAGGGTTTACTCATGATAAGAGAGAAAAAATCTAAATTAAGCTGCTTATTTTAGGTTAAATTAATATATTAACGCACCATTCACCATTTTTGATTTAATTGGTTTTCGTGCTGATAAAAATATTATTCTTTCACCACAGAGTCTTTAAAAGAAGTAGATAAGCCGCTAGTTCTGTCTAGATTTAATTTTTATTGAACCATATACATAGGACTAAAGTTCGAACTTAAGTTGGCTTTTAGAGATCGAGCTTAAGTTGGTTGCTTTATTTTTATCTTCAGCCATTAGTAACCCTCGCATAGCGAGTGTTTCAAGTCCAATCCTATATCACTTTAATTTTTCCTAACAACTTCCCCGAAATATATTATCATATATCTTACTGTTCATCGAAAACGCCTCTTCCTTTGTGCTCCATCAAATTCTCGTTGTACTCTTTTGTCCTTGCACACCCTCAAATTACCATAGTTTCTAAACACCTCTATAGTTCTTTGTCAATTTCCTCAGAAACTATTATAATCCTCCATTTCTCGGCTAAAAATTCAAAGTAAAATTTTAAAACTACGTTAACTCCAGAAATATTGCCATGGATGATTGACATACTGCCAGACTATCTTTTGCTCTTTCGTTATAACCCACCTCGTCGCATTGCTTGCGCAGTCGCAATCATCCATGCTGAAATTCTTTAATATACCCCTAAACTCTATCATATTTTTTATCCAAAAAATTCATCCAAACTTCGCTAAATACTCTCTTTATACTCGCAATATTTTAATAGTACTCTTTTGCCATCTTTAACACTCTCAGACTCAATTGTAACATCGCCATCTATTCTCATTTTAATCCTTTAATGCATTTGTCAATGCAGTGCACTTTTGCGACAGCAATTATAAATCATAAAATTTCAAAGAAATGGTATTAAAAGACTGAACCAGGAAATGTTAAGCGATGTGTGGGAAGTAGAAGGCTAAAAGAGAATTATGATGATTTGGTTTGGTGAATATGAAAACAAGAGGGGAGAAATGGAATTGGTTTTTGAAATGGTCAAAATAAAAAAAAAAAAAAAAAAAGAAATTTTAAGAAAATGCCAAGGAATATGTGAAAATTTAAAGATAATCGCCTCTTCGTCTAGAATGGTTCTTTCTTTCACTTTCACCTAACTGACAACTAACCGATTCACCGAATAATTATCTATAAATAATAGAAAAATATATTTATAGGTAAAAATATAAAAATTTAATCTTTTAATAATAAACTATAAGAGTATATAAGTTTTTATTTCTTTTTTTTTTATTAAAGTATAAACAATAATTAGTAATTTTAGGTGTAAATTAGTTTTCCAAGAAAATTTCAAATACCTTTGAGATCGGGTCTTTTCAATTGATCGCGAAACGGCATGATAGGTTTACGATCACAGCTGAAAAAAAAAAAAACTCATTAATAAATTTAATAACAAAAATCACTTCACTAAAACACTTTTAAGAAAAGTCTATTCAAAAAACCAGTAAAAATAGCAAAGCAAAACAAATTTTTATGTAGTTAAAGAGAAAAATTCGTTTCAATAATTTTATCAATATAAGAGCAAAAAAAAACTTAAATATTGAATATTGAAATATTGAAAAATTTTTTAACAGAATTATTTTTTTTAATATTTCAAAAAAAACACTAAATAAAATAATAGTAATAATAATTATAATAATTCAAAATAATAATAGTAATGGTAACAATAATAATAATAATGATAATGATAACAATGGTAACATTAACAATAGTAATAGATAATGATAATAATAATGATAATACTAATAACAATAATAATAATAGATGATATTTTAAATTTCAGTGCGGCACTATTAAAGTTCCACTCGAGACAAGAATAAATGAAATTGTCTTTTAAAAATTCGACTAGCGATACATCTATTGCGAATTGCGAATTTTACTGCGAAATGACTCTCTGGTAAAATTTTTCTACCTTGAAAAGCCCAACACGCCGAGCAAATTCAAAAACGACGAACATTTAGAAATGTAATAAATCGAATTTGATCGAAAACGCCTAATTAAATAAATTATAATTTATTATAATAAAAATTATAAATGAAAATTGAAAAATTAAAAAATATTCTATTTTTCATTTTATAAAGCTCAATTTCAATAAAAATGATTGATCAAAAATGAAATGAAATAGTAAATAAGGCGAAATTATTTTGAAATTATTGAACGATGAGCTAATTTTATACAGTAGCGTTGCGATAAGAAGCAAAATAGCAAAAGCAAATGTGAATTAGATAGCAGCCAATAAAAAAATAGAATGAGCAGCGTAAAACGAAAATTTTTATAATAACTAAAAAAAATATATTTACACTTTATATATTTATATGTATATTTTATAATAATATAAGTTTACGATAATTGATGATTATCAGTAATCAATAATCAATAAAGTATTAATAGAAAATTATAATTAGAATGATTAAAACAAAAAAATAAAAAAATTTGTATAATTTTGATTTTTACAAGAAAAATTCGAATAAATTTTTAAAAAAATATTTATATTTAATATTTATAGTTAATGTTTTTGTTTTTCCAATAAATATTTGATTAATAAAGCTTTTCAGTTAAATAAAAATAATAAAAAGTAATAAAAGTTGGATTATTCTTAAATAAAATTTTAATTTATTTAAAGTTTTAATTTAATAAAACTTAATTGATTTATGTTATGTTATTTATGTTAAACAATTGATAATATGAAAATTTTAAATTAATAAAAATATTGTATAATATTGTGAAAAAGAAAATCATAGAATTAGTAGAATTTAAAATAATTCATCATCGCCGCGATCGCAATTTATTTTAGCTTTATCGATAAGCTTATTGGAAAAAAGTTTAAATTTAAATTTTTGTATTTTATATTTACTTTTATATTTTATTAATTATTTAAATTTAAATTTAATTTGTGGATGTATTTGGATTATTCTTAAAGGCGATTTACAAGAGAATTTAGTATATACGGTTTCGATTTCCGAGAAAAATATTGATGAAAATTTTCTCAATGAATCCTTTTTTTTTATCATTGATCCAAATCGAGGTCATTATGAGGTTAATTCTTTTCATAGTCTCAATAATGACTACAAATAAGAGGGAGGAAAGCCGCATAAATTCTTATTTCTGCAATATCTATGTTATGGTGGTTTTTATTAATAAATTATTAGCGAAAGTGGTCCACCAGAAAGTGATCCAAAAAAATATTCCATTAAATAATTTCATTAGGCGAATTGAATAGCTCTTTTTTTTCCTTCGATTGGCTAATAAGGTAATTAAAAATTAATGAAATTAAGTAAAATTTATTTAAAAAAAAAAAGTTTCATCGAGCAATAAATAATAATTTCAATGAATATTATGGGTAAAAATTATATATGAAAGGTGTGACGAAAGATGACCTTGATAAAATGGAAAGAAGCAGAAATTTTCAAGAGAAGAGGAAAAGGTGGGGGGAGGGGGAAGGTGGAGGAAAAAAAAAACGAAACCAATAATGAGTAAAGGAATGGATAGAAGGAAGCAATTCAAAGAAATTCATTTACTATAGAAAACTCATTTTTTTTAATGCTAAAAAAAAAGAATAAAAAAAAATTTTGAGTTTTAATGATTAGTGATTTATATCATAGATCACTTATCATAAATTAGGATTTTTTCATGGATTTATAATAAATTAAAAATAGTATAAAAAAGAAAAAAAAATTTTTTTTTTTCTAAATTCTTTTCTTTTTAGGGTTAAAAGCAAGCAATCCGTGCAAAAAAAGAGAAGCAGAGAGAAATAATTGCTTGATACATTACTAGAAAATATACAATTCATACAATTATTATATTGTTATAATACGTAGGAACTCGAATGTAAGAGAAGAGAGAAAAATATAAAAAAATTTTTTTTTTTTTCATTGTCACATTCATTGATGGCTAATATGGGACGCAATGAGCAATTGACAAGATACAAAAATTAACGAGTAACCCCACCTTTCTCGATTTTTACAGAAGCATACATATAACAAAAATCATCGCATAAAACGCCCACAGTTATTCATAGCCTAAATGAACTCCGATTCATGACTTTCATCGATTCTCAAACAACAACAAAAATAGCACAACTCGTTCAAGAAGAAGAAGAAGAAGTAACAAACGACGACTTTTCATTTGACACGAAGCACTTATGACTTGATGAATTCCAAATTTCATTACCTGCGATCTTTTTATTTTTTTTTTTTAATATAGTGCAAAGTGCTATATAAATACTTTCGTTTTCTACCGTAATACAAATTGCATTACTTGTTGCTTCTTGTTGCTAATTCGTTTAGAAAAAAAAGTAAATAAGTAAGAATTAATATGCCTATTTTTAGCTAAATTTATACTAAAAACTTTCTTTTAATTATATTAAAATCACTCAATTTATATACGATTTTTATATTTATCATCTCTTATCACGAGTTAGAATAAGATAATTTGGTTTAAAGTTTTAACAAAACCTTATCTTATCACTTAGAAATGTAAATGCAAGTAATTTCGAAATATCTTACGAAATACCTGGAAAATCAAGATGGTAGATGAAATATATAGCTATATTTCACGTTGCGAAATCTATTACATACCTATCCCCAAATATAACGAGTATAGAAGCATTATGTTCGTTTTCAGGATACATTTTTATTAGAAAGCAAAAATTTCTAGAA